AGATGGCTGGGTGTCAACCAGGAGGAAAGCAGTTTATGCAACGTGGTTCTTCTCTGGTCAAACTGCCTCCTTCAGTTCAGTTCCCGTGCAACAAGTGAGCCGTCAGGGGGGGCAATAAACACGTCTCTGGGCCCCAGCAGGGCAGGAGGAGGCAGAAAGTTACATTGCTCTGCTCTAAAAGTCACAGTTAAGAGAAGTTATAAACTATTATTTAAAAAAAAAAAAAGAGTTGGAAATCTCCTGATGAACTTCTTTTTCCTCTCTTCTGTTTGATCTTCACCCATAAATCCTTAATCACAGGGATGCGGTACCTTTGGGGAGAGGAGTTAAAAGAGTTAGGGATGGGGAAGAGGATAACAGCCTTACAGCTGAGCAGAGCAGGGGCAGAGTCATCTGGTCCATTTCCAGGTGGCTACAACATCACCATCAAATCCACATTACTTTTCCAAGCTCCCTGTGGTCAGCAGGGACAGACACTGCCAGAGGCCGCTTATCTCTGCTGATGACAGAGGACAGCAACATCCAGGCTGGACATCCAGTTCTCAGCAGCTAAAGAGTTGAGGTCAATCGCATCCAGAGAAGCCAGCACACTGCTGCGTGACTTTCCTTACACCGTTCCACTCCCTGGCCCTCTAACCTAAGGCCAGGCTGACTCAGTGAGCACTTAGAGGGCACACTGTCTTCCCAAGACTGGCCCAGGAGTATTGAATTTGGCCAAGGTTACCGCCGTTCAGAAGTACCAACTGACAGTGCCACAGGCCATGTACCTTCTCACAATCCTTCAGGCTCAGCTGTTTTCTTCTTCTAAAAAGAAAAGGGTGAAAAAAAAAATCAATATTATCTGCACCACAAACGTGAAGGACCCAGCAAAGCCACAGGCCACACAGGCTTGTTGGCTACCATCTCCACAGGGACATAGCCATTAAAAGGAACATCTTATAGTCTACCCTCTGCCCCTGCTTCCTAGCTCTTGGGATGGGATGCAAAGCCTGCCAAGCCCTCAGGAAAACAACCAGGTGAACAGATAGCTGAAGAAGAGCACTCGGGCAGATTTTCTGCCACCAAAAGGGCCTCTGGGTTTGACCCTTCCGGGGAAAGGAATCTCTCCTAGAGGAGACATACAGGAACAAGCTCCTCTTCGAGCCACCCCAACCCCAACCCACCAAAGTTCAGGGTGTCTCATGACTAGCCACAATTAACTGCAGCATCCTCCGTACTGCCAGCAAGGTCAGGACACAGCTCTGTTGCTCTCCAGCCTGGCACGCTGCAGGGATGAGCTTCACAACCATGGTTCAGAACAGCTCTCCCCATGGTACCCCATCCCAGGGTCTTGCACATACCTTCTTCTTCTTCTTTTTGTGAACATCAGCAGAGCCATCTGCTATGGGCTCCCCTTCCGAAGACACCTTTTTGCTCTTCTTCTTTTCTTTTCCAGTCTTTTTTTCTGGGAGAGGCAAAGAAAAATCAACTAAGAGAGGGAGTGGTACTGCTAGCCTCCGAGATGGAGTACAGAGTGGTAGGAGCATCTCCAGTAAGTTTTTGATCACATCCAAACGTGAGCAAGATTTCCAGAGCAGTAACTGGGTGAGGGCAGAGCCCTGCTACAAGGCAGCTGCCTCCAGGGCTGTTTCTCCAGTACCGCTGAGCCTGAGCGGTTTGATCCCACCATCCATGCACATGTGTGGGCAGAATTCCGTAGGATCCCCTTCTTTCCACCTCTTGCCGCCCACCCACTCCAAGGAACTGCTTCAGCGCTGGAGTAACGGGACACGTGCCACAAATCAGAGCAAGAGCAGCTACTAACACGGGACGGACACAAGGCTCAGCTCAACACAACTGCTCCAAGAGGCTCCAGCTCACTGCTATGCAACAGCCCACACAAGGGCTGACAGACAAGTCTGCGTCCTCCAAAATGAAGGGCTGCATCTCTGTGGAACAGAAACACCGGCAGATCTGTCCCCCCCCATTCCATATATATATATATATATATAAAAAAAAAAAAAAAAAGCGCCTCCAAGATCTAACACAGAACTGGCTCTGATTTGCAAATTCAGTCTGCACTGCAAAGAAAAATAATTGTCTGTGCATTAGGGCAGCAAACAGAGCATTAGAGAGAGGCGTGCAGACAAGAGGGGCAGGAAACACTTAATTGGGAGCGACGAGCAGAAGGCTGGGACCATCCTCCTCTTTTCTCCAGGGGTTTGAAAGCAGCAGTAACAGCCCTGGGTCAAATCTCTTGACTGAACTGCTCACCACGTTGCAGCACAGCCACTGATCAGGCAGGGTCAGGAAGGGGCACTGTCATCCCACAGGGAACAGCAGCGGCTGACACGGCAGATGACAGCGCAGATTTCAAGGCTGATCTCTTTTGAAGAGGCTGGCAGCAAGGGGCCATGCTCGGGAAGCTCTGACTAACAGAAAAACCTGCACATGTGAACGCTGGGCTTCCTCTGCCGTGCTCACAGCACGTCAGGGACCTTCTGCCTGCCATTCCCCAGCCGCGTTTCACCTGTTGCATTCGCCACAGAGGAGCCAGGGCGGCCGGCGGGGTTAGCAGAGCTGTTCCGCCCTGCGGCCGCGGAGCAGGGCACCACACACAACACGGCCCTCCTGGCTTACACCTGGCAAAAAAACCTCTTCCAAGGCCAGCGCAGCCGGGCAGGCCACGCGAGGCAGGCAGAGAGGCCTCAGGAGGTTCAATGCAGACTCACCCCAACCCTTTGCCAGCCCTCGGCTACACAGCTGCTTCCAGCCAGGGTAAAAGGCCAGGAAAGGAGAAAGCCCTGGAGGGACAGGTCATGCCACAGAAGACACATGGGGACACCAGCTTGCTCTGCAAGCGGCAAGGATCAGCGCGAGCGTTAACGCAGTTCCCACCGCGCCGGAGGCAGGACAGAGGGGCAGGAGAGCCCAGCCTGCTGTCTGCAACACGACCTGGTGCTAAGACTGCAGGAAAACATGGGAGTGGGGTATTAAAAATCCGGCGTTGGCTTTGGGTGGGCCAAGAGGGAAGTCACCAAGCAGGAAGCTAATGGGGAAGTGGGTGCTACTTATAAGGCCCCGCACCAGAGGCTGAACGTGCATCAACGGCGAGAACCTATTGCAAATGCAGCCCCAAGTGAAGGATGCTTACTTTTAGCTGATTTTTTCTTTTCCTTGCTGCCTGGCAACTTCTCCAGATCACCAGCTGCTTTCTTCTTTTTCTTTTTGGGTACTTCTTCATTAGCTTGCCCTTTCTGCTTCTTCTCCTTGGGCTGCCCAACAGCCCCATCCTCTCCTGGCAGTTTCCGTTTCTGAGATGTTTTCTGCTTCTTATTCTCTTTGTCTTTGCTCTTAGATGTTTTCACAGCCTTGTCTGCCGTGGAGGAAGATTTCTTCTTTTCCTTCTTTTCTTTTTTCTCTTTTTTCTTCTTCTTCTTCTCCTCTTCCAACCCTTTCAGTGTTTGCACTGCAGGTACTTCAGCAGCAGTGGTTACCTCAGTTTCGCTCCCCGAGCTTGACTCCTCTGATTGCGGGATAGAGAACAGTGCAGATGATGCTGGGGTCACTTGCACCCCTTTTGCCCCAATGTCATTCTCTTTCACAGCCAGAGCTTTCTTGACCGGGGAAGGTTTGACGCTGGCATGACCTGCCTCCATTTTTCCTGCCACCTTCTCTTTGTTGGATGCTCCCGTGGCTTCCTGCCCTAGAGGGGGGTTGTGTTCTGCAGAAACAATGACAAGAGAGAGAAGACAATTCAGGGAACGTTCGTTACATAGACCACAGGGTTACTGGGGGATGGAAATATGCTTGAGTTTGAAGATGAGCATTTGCTTCTCCCTCAAAATCAAAGCCTGCTGGCCATCCCAACTACAGCAGAGCCAGAGAAAGATGCCTCAGCCCAAAATAAAGTACCTGGTGAGGGAAGTGGCTGACAACAGCCACAAGAGCTTTGGCCACATCCAGGGAGAATCGGGACTAGACTACATGGAACTAGCACAAGACACGTGAGCATAGATAGAGCAGTCCTTCCCCAGGACACCACCCCCAGTGAAGCCAGGGACTTCCCAAAGTGGAGGGGGCATCCATACCACCACATTTAACCATCCCCAATGGCCTATCCCCCAGCACCTGGACCTTCTTAAACCTATATATAGTCCTGACCTCCTCAACGTTCCTTTGCACAACTGAATGATGTGCTCAAGAGGCCAAGAGATCCATTTGAGCCTCTAGAGTGGGCCAGAGCTCACAGCCAGACCAGAACTCCTCTGAAGGTGCCAGGGTCACACCAGAGCAGAAGCAGTTTCCAGCTCCGAGTTTTACAATTTATCAACAAACCAGGGCGATAGGGAAATAGCAGGACATTTTGTTTCTCCATAGGTCTTCCCACTTGCTTCCTGTCCTCTGCCCTCCAGACAAGCTTCAGAGTCCAGAAATCCCAAGGGAAGGCTTGAATGCCAGCCCTGTGTAGCAGATGTTCTTCAGCCAGTGTTTAAACATTCCCTAGGAGCCATCACGACCACAGCACACCAATGCAGTGGGCACAGATTTTAGGGACAGCCCTACCTACTCCCATTAATTGCATTAATTATTGCAGTTAAAGCAGAATTTGGAAGAAGCAAAGGCACAGAGACAGCCAGCACAAGAGGGGTGTTCAAGCAGAGGGCTGTGTCGTGGCCAGGGGAAGCCAGCAGACGGCAGCAGCATTCCACGCTACTGGGCTCTGCGGTGGAGACACACTGGGAACGGGGCTGCCTCCCAGTGTCACCCTCCAGTGCCAATACAGCTTAGCTCCTGGGCCAAGCAGATTCCCAATCTTGCCAAAGGAGACCCACCTGCTTTGTGGTTTGCAGCCACCTGGTCAACGTCTGTATCGGAGTCACTGCTGTCACTGCCGGAGCTGTCATCTGGGGCTGCTTTCCCGGAGGCCTTAGCGAGAGAGTTTGCAGCAGTCACGGCTGCTTTCCCTTGCTTCACTTTGACTACAGGCTGGGGGGGAACCGTCTTTGGTGTTTGGGGTGCTGCTGGGGTCCTGGAGAGGCCCAGATAGCCTGTAAGGAGGGACTGAAACAGCACAGACACACTGAAGAGTCACAGCAAAGCAGCCTCCCACACACCAGACACCTACATCTGAATCTGCCGCTATTGCCCCGGTACTCCAAGTGAAGGGCCCACCTTTGGCCACCTGCAGAGTGATCCTGCACCACCCAGCCAGCCCTGCAGAGAGGACAGGGCTGCCAGAAGAGGGGGGGCCAGCACTGACAGACACTGGTTCAGCTTACAGCAGCAAGAGCTGATGGGAGAGGGTCTCCTCTTTGTTCTCGCCTAGTAAAGCAGGCTTGGGGGAGGCTCCTGGCCATTAGCATGCACCCACGCACAGCTAATGCACTGCAGATGTGCCGCACGCCTTGCACATTACTTACAAAGGGAATTTAATGGCTTGGACACAGGTTAAGTTACAAATAAAAGTGGGGGGAAAAAATCCTGCTGCTATGGGCACTGTGCACCATTTCTCTTGGTTTAACCCTTGCGAGGCACCACCTCCTCCCATCCCTTCACCCCAGCGAAGGCACCATGAGCTCTGGACCCGAGGCCTGGCTGCCTGGGGAAGCATTCCAGGTTCAAAAGCCTCTCTCTGCCCCCACCAAAAGGCGCTGCTCACAGCACTGCACTGGGGAGCCCCCACTTCTGTGCTGGCAAACCCACTCAGCACCCCATCGGCTATGGCTGCGAACACAGTCTTCTCTCTGTCCTACTTATGAGCCAGTCGTAAGACGTAAAAGGATTCCAGCCTGTTCAGGTACCATACCTGCGACACTGCCGCCTCCTCCTCCTCCTCACTGGACTCTGAGGAGGAGCTGTGGGCCAGCTGGGTCCCTTCTGGTTTCTGCAGCGAGCCTGCTGGAGGAGCAGAGTTCATCCCATTAAACCCACCACTGCCACCTGGGGCTGAGCTCACCTACCCAGCACAGTTACTGCTACCAAAAGGTCTTCTGCATCCAAGGACAGGGGAGTGCTCTGCCAAGCTGGAGAGGAGGAACCCCTCTCCAACCACTACATGAAGGTGACACAACTCTCACAGGATAACAAAACGTTGTCCCCACCCTGGCCTGGCCAGGCCAGCAGCACCAAGAGCATCTTCTTGGGAGAACTGACCAGGTTTTGGGGGCTGCTTGGGTGTCTCTTCCTCATCACTGTCCGAGGAACTGCTACTGTCCGAGGTCTCCTCTGCCTGGGTGGGCGGCACAGCCTGGCTCAGCCGGGCATCCTGCGCTGGCTGTAGGCCTGGCTTCCCCGACTTGGTGGTGGGGCTTCCCAAGAGCGAAGCAGCCTGCAGAGTGGCAGTGTTGGATGGAGAAGCTTTTCCCACAGGAACCGTTTTCTTTAGGCAAGGAGGAAGGGAGGAGGCCTAGAGAGAGGAAGGTGAAATGTATCTGGAAGGAGGAATAACTGCTCATGCCCATGAACTGCAAGAAGCAGCCCAGAGTAGATGGGCTTGGACCACCTCAGCCCTTCTTCAGCCATACTGCTCCAGTTCATGTCAAGGTTAGCGCAAGAACCTCTCATGGAGAGCACAGAGAACCCCATCTCCACCTCGCCCACAGGTGAAGCAGGAAGCTGTGGCCAAGCAGACAACTCCTTGCTGCACAGCGCACTGCTATCACAAAAGGAGGAAGAAACCCACAAGCCAGCTGGGAGGCAGGAACAGCAAAGGTACCAGGGCTACCCTCTGCTCATCTGCCTCACCTTATGGAGCAATAACAGCGGTTAATATAGAGCAGCCTCCGTCTTCCCTGGCTTCAGCAGACATGCTCCCTCAGCTGGGGATGCTGCACCAGGCTCAGACTCCAGCACATCCATCTGCCCACGCTCCCCAGGGAAGCTCCCCACTTTAGTCCCCTCCGTCATTACCTCTCCTGACGGCACGTCTTGGTCCGAGGAATCGCTACTTGAGCTCTCAGACACTCTGCTAACCGGAGGGACTGCAGGCGCTTTTATCCCCTTCCCTGAAGGCAGCGTGGCATTAGCCTTGGCAGCCACTGTGCTCGAAACCTTGGTCGCTTTGATGTTCTGCTGGGAGAGACTCTAAAATAGATGAGAAAGAAAAATCAGGGCACAGCGCAAGTTGGAGGTAAAGAGACAGAAGAATACGCCAATCCACCACTACCTCCTGAGCCCTTCCATCGTTTTCAGCAAGGGTCTTATTTTTTTTTCTCTTTACACGCCAGCTCTGTCTCCTATAAGCTTCTGAGCAGGGCCTCTGGCACAGTCAGAAGAGAAACAAGGGCCAACAACTCAGGAGTGCCTAAAGCATTAAGCTTTAGGTCCCAAAGGCACCCATCCTGAGGGCAGGCAGGCAAAACATGATGTGCTTGGCAGGCCGTGAGATCCCCATCCACTGCAGCACCGGCAAGACTGCAGCTGCAAACCCCACTTTGCAAAGCAGGCGCTTGGACTCCAGGATGTCTCCTACACTCTTGAAAATCACACATTGAGAGTTAATTGGCAACAGAGATAAAGCAAAGACACAGGCCACAGGGCAAACTTGCCTTCAGGTCCACAAGCAAGCCACAGATTAGAGAACAACCTAACAAGAAGCAATTTGGTTGCCTCACATTTGAAACCTTCCATCAAACTAAATGTAAGAGGGGTTAAAAATAGAAGAGCCAGGGGCACGGAAATCAGACACTGCATCAGGTCCAAGACACAAATGCCAGCAGAGGAGGGAGCAGGAGCAACGAAGGAGTGCTCAGCCTCCTGGTTTGTGTTACAAATGAGGCTACGTGAGCAGCCCTCCCTCTCCAGATCTCTGACAAACCGGGCCTTTGTGGGCTGACATTTCCCTCACACAACATCTGGCCTTCAGAAAAGAAAGCAACGCTCCACCATGCGGAGAGCCGCCAATCCGACGTGAGCTCTCAGCCGTCGTGCACAAAGCTCAAGTTACAGCAACTGCATTATTTTATACGATCTTGGTACTATAAACACGCTTTAATCAAGGATTGCTCAGGCTGGCTGCCTGCCCACCAGCTGGGGGGAGACAGCCTTTCCACTGGCCAAAATGGTGAAGGGTTTCCTTGAGTGCACATAATCTTCTCCCAGCAAGGCCGCTGGCCAGACAGGGGACGCATATGTGCGGGACAAGAAATGCACTTGGCCACTAAGCCTTGGGCTCAGAGCACCAGCTGAACCACTGCCACGGAGCAACGGCAGCCATGTTTCTCAGTCAAGGCTTCTTCACGCGGTTTCTTTCTCGGGCTCAAACTGCCGCAGAGGTGCAGAAACACTCAAGCCAGCTTCATACCAAGGCAGCTCAGGCCCTAGGGAACTCAGCCACAGCCCTGTGGGACTGGCATGGAGACAGGAAGAGATGTGACACAAAGAGATTCGGGTGAGAGAGCTGGGACCGGCTCCATGACACTCAGCAGTGTCTTTGCACAGATATGGGGGTCACCTCCCTCCTCCAAGGCATGGGTATGGCTCCTCCAGCTGAAAGGCAGCCGAAATCCACTTCGCTACCCTTCAGGGCAGCCTCCCGAAGCGGTGGAGTCCAGAGATCTCCAGCTGCACCCCACACCCAGGGGTTTGGGAAGAAACAAGGGGCAAGTTGCCTTGGAGCTACCCAGCTCATGGAAAGACTCTGCCTACAAGAATGTGGCTGTTCTTCCAGTCTAACTCCCTGGAGTAGGGCAAAGGGGACAGAGTCCCAGAGGAGGTCTGGGCTCATGCATCTACTCGTGTTCCTGCCAAAACATTCACACCCTCCACTGCTCTCACACACTGCAAGCTTGCTGTGGCCGAGACGTGTACCCAGAACTGGGGTCAGCAAGACCCAGGGATTCCGCAACAAAAACCTGATCCAGCCAAGTAGAGTGGTCCTCTCTGTACCGCTCATCACCAACCCAACTACCACCTCACAAGTCCTGAGACCTCCTGAGCATGCAGGGCTAACAGTGTCCACACCCAGCAGGTCAGCGGCTCCTTACCTGCGAAGGGGGGACTATTTCCTCCTCCGAATCTGACTCCTCGCTGGAATCATCACTGCTGTCTACAGGTGCAGGGGCTGGCGTTGGTGCAGGAGCCGGTGCCTTCTTCACGTTTGTTGGTGTTGTGGTTTGGGGCACAGCGCTGATTTTCACTGCAGGAAAAGCATAGCAGATTGTCACCATGAGAAAGAGTTGCCCTCCACGGCTCTTCAGAGCAGGAGCTATTACACCAGGCTGGGCTGTTCGATGTGCAGGGGAGAGAAGGAAACCCATGAGGATGCGGGTGAGGGATCCTGGTCACTACCAGAAGACTTACCAGCTTGTGGAGTCTGTGTCTGTGCTGCAGGGGACTCCTCTTCACTGTCAGACGTGTCACTACTCCCACTTTCTGAGGCCTGGCTTTTCAAGGTGCTTCCTGCTGCTTTTACAGGCAACCCAGCTTGAGCAGCCTGGCTCAGGTTGGGAACAGGCACAGGCTGTTCTGTTAACCTCTTAACAAAAAAGAAACACAGGCCCAGAAATATGGTATTAGTACAAGTGTTGTTCAGGAGTTTACGTGCAGTTTCAGCTCAAGTTGGGTTTTGTTTTATCCTAACACAGCTGTTACTAACACTCACTCTGTCCTTGGCGTGTCAAGATTGGAAGGGGCTTCAGTTACTGCCTGGACTGAGCTGCTGAAGAGACGTAACACCGCATTTAGCAATATGCTTTTGACAGGAAGCCTGAGTGTGTTTTATCGCACGAGCATTCAGGGCTAACAGTGCTCATACACTCATAAGAGCAATTCCTTATTGAGAGACAAATACTGGCTGGACAGGAGCCTGAGAGCAGGAGAAGCATCACAACCCTGAGACCCCCATTCAAAGGAAGGCTCTTATTTAAGCACGACTTCCCCCCAGCTTGGGGGAGGAGCTGGGAAGTCTTGTGCAAAAACACTTGCAAAATTCAGAGACAGCATCAAAACAGCTACATCCTAGAGCTGTTGGAGAACTTGGTGTAGACACAGGGCTGACACAAACATTTGGGAATGCAGAGGACAGGCAGAGACAGACTGGGACCCAAGAGAGGACTTAGCACCTTGGAAACTGAACTGTCAACAGGTCTGAGAATTTAGAAATTGCCAGACAACAACAAAAAAACCCTGCAACTCACTTGGGCTGTGCCTTTCTACAGCACCTATCAACACTCTGATGTCCCAGGAGCGGCCACAAGCCACGGCCCCGAGCAACTAGCGTGTCACACTAGGAAGCCACAGTTATCGCAGCATCAGATACACAACTGCCAGGTGAGCCGATCTCTTCCCAGCCCCTCTCCCAGTTTGGACCAAGGGCTGCAGACACCCCTCCTGCAAGCTGCTGAAGGCTAGTGGCAGCAGAGGGAGAGAGAACGCTTGCTGAGAGATCTGGCAACTTCACCACCCGCAGATTTTCTCCAGGCTCGCAGTGCTCTGCGCCTACTCAGTTTACTCCACTCATCGCTCATCTCCGGGCTGCTCTGCCAAAGAGCACATCACGCTTGCCAGGGCAGGCAGACCCCATCCAACCCACACGTGACGGCAGCCTGCTTCAGCGCTCTGTCTCCAGGCCTCCTGCAAGAAGGTGAGAGAGACCCCTGCCTGGCTGCACAGCTCCTGCCACCCCTCTCTCCCAAACCTGCCGTGCTGCTAACGCAGCGATACCCTCTCAGCCCACAACAGAGGACCAGAAGGACTTCAGCAGTGCCGGCTCACTTGGGGGCTGCTCCTGGCCAGCAGCCGAGAGCACCAGCCTAGCAGCCTCCCGGGAGGACGGATCTTACCATGCTTCCTGGCACAGCCCCACTAAGGGCTGCCACTGGGGCAGTGTTTATCATCTCCAAGCCAAACACTAAACAGACAACAGCATCTGCATGTTTATCCCATTACAGAACAGCTCTCCGAACAAGCCAAGCACATTTTGACTCTGCTTAGAGAAACAGAAACCTCCACAAGCGCTTGGGGAGGGGGGGATTGCAAACCTCACTTGTCTGTTTTGTTTTGATACCAGTGAGTCACTATCTCCAGGAGAGAGGCCAGATTTGCAGTACAGAAGAGAGAGAACTAACTACTTGAAGCCGACACAAGAATTCACACACTCTACTTGAACGCGTTAGCTCCTCCCCCTCTTGTCCCAAGCACTGCTGTGCAAGGGAAGAGTACCAAGACCAGACCCCACTCGCTCACTTTTAAGACCTTCAGAGAAACAGGATTGGCTTTTCCCTCTACTCAGATGCACGGCTTCTGGGCTGCTTCATTTCCTAACTTAGCAAGAGAATGGGAAACAGCTGCCGTACAGAGGCACCTTGACACAGAAGGAATGTACCAGCATCCGCAGAGTAAAGCACCGTAGCTTTACACAGCCTAGGGACTCCTCAGATCTTCCTGGGAGGAGGCGATCCCTTGATCCACCTCACCTTGGTCACTGCCAGGTGGCTGACAGCCACCACGTCCAGTGGCGTGGCCCCAGCAGCGTGGCTGAATTACACCCAGGGAGGAGGGTAACACGGGCAGAGAGCTTCTGACAACTTAAGAGTCACGGGTACTGAAGTAACTCAAGAGAGGAAGAAAATAATTCAAGAGGAAATCATTTTTCCTGCTCCCTCTCCAGCCCCCAAACCAGAAGCTGCCTGCGGCTCAGTACGAGTGTGATGACTCAGCTCCCGCACAACCCATCTGCCACTCCGCTGGGTCCATTTGCATCATGCAGCGCTGCATGACAAGAGGGGGAAACAACCCCGAGCCACGTGCACCGAGCACGTTGTAACAATCACACTCCATTGCTGCCTGCACAATGCGGAAGCACCGCCAGCGTTATCGGGACTGGGACCAGTATCTCAGCTGTGTCACAACACAGCAAGGGTGCGATTGTCACCTGCAAGGGAGCAGGGAGAGGGTTCAGGGAGGGAAAGACGGGCTCCCTCTTTGAAAGAGAGGCTCCATCTCTTGGGGGTTTTGTTCTCTCCCTACAGAGCCTGCGGTCCAAGTTAAAAACTTTCAGGCACAGCTTCTACCAGTGCAGCCTGCATGGATTTTCCTGGGATCCTCAAGGAAGACACGGGTTCCCAACACACGCATGCATGTGCATCTCACACCCAGTCCTGGTAAGCAGAAGCCCAAGCGTGTCCATAGAGGGCTTGCGTGCCATCTTTGGCCCAAAACATCCAGGAAAGAGGAAGCAGAGCAGAACTGGCAGTTCCAAAAGAAAAGCAGCCCACAGCCTCTTTAAGATCAATCCAGACTGTCCCCCATCACCATCCTTCCCCCCAAAAATATGCAAACACCTTGTCAACTTCTTTGACTAAATATTCCTGAGTCTTCAGGGGTAAACATACCAATTAAGCAGTTCATTTTAGGCATGATGTTCATTTTAATTGTGCTAATCCACCCCCACAAGGAAAGATGAAGCAGCTTCCAACGCTCTGTATCTGTTTGGATCTTGCACAGAAGCCAGAGGAAGTTGCAGGATACAGTAAGTCAGTGGTTAGCATATGCCCAAGTAGCAGATGGTGGGGATGAGCTAAGAAGAGTTTGACTGGGAGGACAGGACTGTGGACACAGCTAAGCCTAATGGTTTATCTTCAGGCTTCACTCGTGGTCTCTGCCTGTAGGCTACTAACACGGGTAGAAACAGCCTGTTTGGCAAAAATAGAGCTCCCCTGATGACAAGCTCTTCCTTGCTGGCTGTGGCTGTTGAGGGGTAATCACCAGTTTGCAACAGGGAAGATGCTGAAGTGGTTAAATAGCCATCACCAAGATGGCTACCTGCTGCTGCCAGCTTCAAATCAACACTGGGGGGAAACAAACCTACCCCAGCATGTCCCTCATCTACAACCCCTGCTAGAACAGTCGAGTCTCAATAGTTTTACAGCAAGACCCCATGGCACAGCTATCAGAATAGCTGCTCCTGCCACCCAGAGCTGAATCTTCACATATAATCACGCAGGAAGAGAGCAGCACAGAGCCAACTGTTAGAGATGCGTCCCCCTCCACCCACCTTAGCAGACCAAGGCTATGAAGACAAAAATGCCTGTCAATAGCGAAAGGACGTGTTGACAAAGAGCCTCCTTGCAAGGACACGTGAGGCTCTGCCCCCGGCTTCCCTTCCTCCCTAGCAGATAATAGCTGCCATCTCTGGAATGCTGCTTTCAGGGCACTTTGCAAAGATCCTTGCAGCTCAGAGTCAATGCAGAAGGTGTCCATACAATGGGCCTAAGGACACTCTCAGGAAGGGATTTGCTTCCCTACAAGCTCAGCCACCTAAGTCCGAGTCCAGTCTTGAATTCGTGGTCCTTCTCGCAAGACAGGTCTAAACAAACCCTCACAGGAGAGCCAAGACCAAGCCATCTGTGACCCCGCACACAAGGCCCACTCCAGAGGGGCAAGGCATGAGTGGAATGAACCAGTTGGTATCAAAAAGGTTAGCCCCCACCCTCCTCTGGTACGGCTGGGTGAGAAGAGTTAGGCTGTAATTGTTTCCAAGCAGAAAGACAGACCTTCCTCTCTGAGGGACTGAGATAAAACACACTACATGCGACTGGTGTTTCGAGGAGATCAGTAGTAGCATTTAAGGGCTAAACAATTGTCTTGCATGTCCCATCCCTTTGCACCAAGCTGAATGCGGTGTCACCTACCTTCTGGCTGACAGGCACAGGGAGATCCTCCTCTTCACTGTCTGAAGATTCAGAGCTCTCCACTGGCTTCGTACTTTCAGCAGGCTTTGTGGGAGCAGCAGTCCCTCCCGGTGTGGTTTTGGCCTGCTTTAGCGCTGCTGGTTTTGATGCTGGCTTCCCTTGGGACAGTGGAAGTGGTTTTGCTGGAGCTGCTTTGCCAGAGAGTGATGCTGCTGTTGTAGGTTTCACCGGGGATGGGATGGCCTGGGAGGATTTTGGAGATGGCTTTGTCTGGACAAGACAAGAACAGCGTGAAACAAGGCAAATCCCACAGCAGCGTAATTTATTTGCTCAGACTGTAATCAAGGGAAGAGATTTCAGGGCCCCCTAGGAAAGGCAAATGCTGAAGGAAGATTAGCAACTGGCAGGAAACACAAGGCATCCTTTCATCTAGCTGTATGGGGACAGTCTCCCAAGATGCAGCAAGACCAGACATTCTTCACCACCCTGCTGATCCTACCAGTCCCCTCCAGTGAGGTACATTGCAGCACTTTGCACTCCCCACAGCAGGGACGCCAAGCTGCACTACAGTTCAACAAACTATACACTATTTACTACAATTTATAGCCGAGAGGCAAATTCAACCGTGACAATTTGCCTCTTCAGGTGGGAAAAGAATTGCTGAAGTTTTTTTTTTCGTTAAAAGTACTGATGGATTTTTTTTTTTTACTTATTAAAGAAAGGCACAATAGCTTGAGCAAAGACACTGAGGTACCTTTAAATACCCCATGCCTCTTCCTTCTCACCCGCAAGATGACTTTGCTATACACTACAGGCATATACAAAATTTTCTTTTCACTGCAATTCCCAGCCCTGGAGAGGTGTGCAAGGAGAGACAGAGTCTCAGATAAACGCACCTGGGTTACTGATGGAGGTTCCTCATCTTCACTGTCTGATGAGTCGCTGCTGTCTGATGTGTCATCGGGCTTTGAAGCCCCAGGAACCGTTGTGGATGTGGGTTTGGCCTGATTTGGTGCCACTGCCGTTTGCCTCACTGCATTCTTCTTGACAGACACTGGAGCAGCAGGTGCACTTTTCACAGGTGCTGCATTAACCTGCACTGTTTTCACAGGTGGTTTTGCCTGAAAACAGGAAGAACAAAAGGGAACAGGAGAATCAGGTAACATCTCACAAGAAACCTATCGAGAGCTGTAATTGTATGGAATCTTTTAAAGAAGGCTACCTTGCTAACTTTGAGCAGGATAAGCTTGTTCAGACCCAGGGGCTGTGGACTGTCTGAAGCAAGCCACTTTCTCTATGGACTGCCTGATTACATCCGTGGAACTGCACACCAATCACCTCCTACAGATCAAAGGATCTCCCTCAACTTTAGGCACAAGGAGGAACTGGGATGGAATGGCTGATGCTGGCAGATGTTGGTGGGGCTCTTAGCCACACGGTGTATTTCTCTGGCCTTGGGTTTTGGGATCCCACACACCCAGAGAAGGGGGTGTTATCAGACTACAGCATTTCCTCTGTCCTTCAAGGGAAGGGAATTGATTTGCTAGAGACAAGGAATCTGGGTTGGAGAGGTTACCTGGACCGCTGGAGTTGCAGGCTCCTCCTCAGAGGATGTCTCATCGCTTGATTCCTCACTGCTGCTGGCAGCAGCCGCAGCTGCCTGCTTCAGCTCTGAAACACAAGCGAGGAGATGTCACAGCTGCTGCCTGCTCTGAGCTCCCAGAGCGTGATGCTAATGCAGCTTTTGAAGTCTGGAAAACAAAACAAGCCACAGAGAGGGCCAAGGGGATTTGCAGGGAAGAAGGCCTAGCCCTGCTGAAAGCATCAGTGGCCTGCTGGGAACAGCTTCTTCCAGGCAAACATTGGCCCACAAACACCACTCCCCTGAGTGCGGGCAGAGATGGGAAATCCTTCCTGGCGACCCTCTGGGGAGCTGCCCAGTCACAGACTGTCAGACAGTCCCTGCAGGGGCACCCAGCCCGGCTGGACGTCCTCTGGAAAACAGCCAAGAGAAGGACCATTTTCAGGGCTTCTACGATCTATTCCTCAACCCCCCCCAATACATACACACTTCAAAGCAGTAAAAGATTTCCCTGAAGTCTTCAAAACCCAAAAGCATTCACTTTGCAATTGGGAATAAAGAGAAGATGCTGCAGTGCCTTTCCAAAAAGCTGAAAGCATTTGCAGTATTAGTACTGCATCTCATCCAGATATGCTATGCTGTTATCTCCAACCCCGTAGTGCTGGGTGCTGCCAGACAGACATCTTAGCACGGAATCTGCCGCTTGAAATGGGAGCGAGCATGCTGGATTCATCCCACAGAGCTCCGGAGCCGGCTGCTTTGCAGTATTCTCACAACCTCCCCAAGGAACAAGCATCGCTCTGAGCTTTCCAGCAAGGGAGCTGAAAGGAACGTGCTGAAGGCATGGCTCAGACCTGATTCACAGCAAAGCCGGAGCACGCATGCATATACCTCACCCCACAGGCTCCTTACCCACTTTGGGGGCTGGGGTCTTTACAGTTGGCGTCTCTTTTTCCTCTTCACTCTCTGATGAGCTGCTGCTGGAGCTTTCCGGTGCTTTGGTCGTTACTGATGCTTTGCTTTGACCGACTTTGGCCGTGGCTGTTGCAGCATGTCCAGGCTTCCCAGGACCAGGCAGTTTCTGCCCAGCCTTGGCCGGAGATGAAGATGCAGTTGGCGCATTGGGCTGCTGCTTATTTGAGACCACAGTTCTTTTTGCAGCAGAGGGAACCGCTGCTTTGCCTGGCGGGGTAGCGGGTTTGTTAGGAGAATGCAGGGAGTTGGCAGCCTTGCCACTCACCACAGCTGGTGTCACCTACAGGAAACAAAAGAAATTAGAAGTCTATAGGCAGATGAGGGGCTAAACTGGACACCGCATACTTTAAACAGGAATCTGGCAGCCGGGCAAGCCATAGAGCTCTTTAGAGAAACAGGGGACAAATATCTAAGAGTAGGCTTTTGCCTGTATAGGAGGCTCATGTCAATGAGTCTGGGACAGTCCTGGCCTCAGAGTACTATCAGCCTTCAAAGCCAAGAGAAGCATGGCCTTACCGTAACTGCACCTTTTCCAGCTGGTCTCTCCTCTTCTGATGAGGAGTCATCATCTTCACTGCTCTCTACATTCACCCCCGAGTTCGTGGCCAGGGAAAGGCTAGCTGCTGCACAAGAGAGAGCCACAGAGAAATCACATGAGAGCCTCTCGCATCAGGATGGCCCCTGGTCTGCAGGAAGGCCCCAGCATGCAGGTCAGGGTCCCATCTTCACATCTGTCCCAACACCTCTGGCGCTGCCCTTGCAACAGACAAGTGCCTCCACCCCATGCTTCTCCCCACCACCAGGGCAAGGAACCTGCCAAGATCTGCATGTTTCCAAGGGCTGGTCTACAGCAGATGAGACTGAGCCAAAACGTATCAGACACACGGGTTTTTGTTAGACTATTCAAGCCAACGCCTCCCACATCAGCTGCACCAGGGATCTCTCCCCACCTCAGACAGAGGGCACCAGCTTTCCACACCAACTAACAAGTCCTTCCCTCATCCATGAAAACAGGCCTGCCTTTGCTGGCCCAACAGACACCTGGGACCAACGAGAAGGTGCTCCACAGTGGGCAGCATCAAGTTCCCAAGGCTTCATCTAAGCGACAACACCCATCCCTCCCCCATGAATCATAACAGGATTCTTCTAGCTTCAGCAGACATCTGTGCTCCTCAGAAACTCCACATGAGAAGGGAGTGCTAAATTAGTAGTCCTATTTTTCCTAGAGCACAAGGGAATAGCCATCACTTTACAAGCATTTTCTCTAGCCAAACAAGTCAGGCTGCTGCTACACAACCTCCGGTCCTACTCTGTCAACGCCAGGGAGATGAAAGACTCCTACCATTTGCAGCTTTCGCCTTCTCTTTCTCATCCTCTTCTTTCTCTGAGCTCTCAGAGCTGCTCACAGGATCAGGAACTCTGATCTTCTCTGGGATGGCTGCCTCCTCATCACTCACCTTTCTTCTCCTGGAGTTTGAGGGAGTTCTGAGGAAACAGCATTTGCATCAAAATGGGGAAAAAAGATATCTTGAACAAATTGGAATACAATTACTCATCCACTCTCAGGTCAGGCTCCAGCCTAAGCACATGCAGTGCCATTCTTCTACAGCTCCAAAGGGGGTGGGAGAAATACTTCTCTGACCTGCAAGGGACATCTCCAGTCCTCCTCAGGCAACTCCCAAGAACAACATACCCTTGCAATACTCAGAGGAGATACTAAACATAAGACTTTTTTTTCCTGTGTCCGAGGCAGAGTCTTTCCTCCTTTAGCAGAGAAGCAAAAACATATTTGGTCAGGCTAGTGCTCACCACAGCGCAAAGGCATCCTACAGAACCAATTCTGTCTCCAGGAGGCAGCTATAGCCAGTCAGTCAATAAATACAGTCCCAGGGTTAGGGCAGTGATCCCCAAGCAGATCTTGGTATTCCATGAGGCCGCGAGAAGTGAATCTAAAGGCTGCAAAAGCCATTTGAACTTGGACTTACAGGCCAAAAGGACAGAAAAGTCAGGTTGCAGAGAGATTTAAGAAAGGAAGTGGCTGGACCTACAGAAGATGTGTTGAAAGAAGGAGAGGAAGAGGCCACAGATGAGAGTAAGTGCTTAAGCTGTTCAGGTGGGTTAAAACATTAAGCTGGTGAAAGATGCTTCTAGGCTCTGAATCCCACCTGTACCAGCAGAACAGATGTAGCTAAAGCTATCATTAATTTTCCAATGAAAACATAGGTAATACATTCACTTCATTATGAGGAGAACATTGGCTGGGCACACGTCTGTGTGTGTTTCATACACGCAGTACTTCTAAGTTGGTAAAAGCCCTGAGACACCCACAGTTATCAGAGGCGGAAAGACCACCTTGCTTTTGTGCCAGTTTAGCTTATTTTGTGATGAGCTTAAAAATAAGGTTAGTTTAACAATTTGGCCAGTAAAGATCATGCTTATTGCGAGTGTTTAAAGTAGCGTAGCTGTAACGGCAAGTTTTTTGGAAGCAGACTAGGCCAAAGGCACATTTGCTCTTAAAGTGCTGTGAACTACTGTAATATTCCCTTTAATAAAATAATAGGACCAGTCACACAGGCAGCTATGACGCTCAAAAGCCTTCCTGATTCGGTGGCAGCTGATAGCACAACAGAGACTGCTGTGAAACTCTGCTGTGAGTAACCAGGCACTGAGGGATACTGCGTGGGGGGAAACAGCGGTGACCGGAGGCGCTGGCCCTACAGCAGCCCGGAGCATTTGAGGGCTGCAGGGCTTCGGCTGTTCCTGGGGCTGAGCTGGTCCAGCTTCCACCTACACCCACGCACCCTTCCGCCCCCTCCCAACATCCTCCAAGACTAAACGTAGCCCTGGAGGGAGGCCACTCTTAGGTAACTGGAAATCTCAACTGTTAAGTTCAGTTTGAAAGAGATTTTAAAGGACAGAACCAAGGACGGCCTCAGTCAGATGGGCAAGAGAAGCAGCACAGTCAGAGGAAAGACATTTTCAGGCCAAAAGCCTACGAAGCGCCAAGACGCGAGAATCACAGCTCACCCACATGACAGCACTCCAGTTAGGCAGGGCACCTTCAGGATAAACAAAACTACTGGTCACCACATCCCTCATTTTGACTCCAAAGCAGGCATAACTCAGGGGGACCAGGAATAAAAGGCATACTTGTAAGGTGGGACCACAACAGAAGGGTGACGCTACAGAAAAAGGAATTAAATGTGATGCTAGTGCCCTGTCACCCCCCAAGCTTTGAAAGTAGCAGTGTCTGGAGGGGTTTGCAGTAACACCCAGGATAACTCGCACAGAAAAAGGTCACCATCAATACTCAAAAGAGCAATAAATTGTTAGATGGAGGAACTGCAAGCCTGTTCCGACACTGCTATATCCTCAGCTAGATCCAGCCCTTCTCCTGCTCAAGAAAATCAAGGAGACGCAAGAGCAAGAACCAGGGTAGCACCAAGGCACGAGGTGTTCTAGCAGAAGACACCTTTGAAGCAAACACCCGCTTACCAAGGCTGCTGGCACAGCCACGCTGAGGAGCATCTTCACTCCAGCTCTCGTCAACATGGGCACAGAAGCCCACCCAGCTCCACTGATTCCCCAATAACCCGGCCCTGCGGCTGCCCCCAGGCTTCTCTCTGCAGCACCGCGCTCCAGCATCAAACCAAAGCGAGCGGTGCACAGAATGGCTGCAAACATCATTGTGCCCCACAGATGGGAAGGCTCCACGCTGCAGACCTTCACATGGGGTACTGAGTGGAATAATTACACGGGAAGGCACTGGGCTGAACGTGTAAGGGCTTGAAAGGACAGGCTGAAACCAAGAGACTTCCTCTGAGTCAGAAGATACATGATCTATGCCGAGGTTTACGGCCCTATAAGAGCCGTGGCATTTCAGCATCTGCTCAAATTCTCTGTTCTTGGGTCAGCAGTCCCGCAAAGCACGTGGCTTTAAAAGGAAAGCGAAACAGAACTAGGGAAAAGATTTCTGGCAGTAAAGCATGACTCTGAGCCCCACAATACTCCAGTATTAACCCCAACTGTCAAGAACAGCATCAGCTGCTCAAAACTAGAGTAGCAACATATCTGCAAGCTCAGGAAATTTTAAACCAAAGTAATCTTTAACATCTGAAACAAATCGGTCTGAAACCAGAGGCTACGAGGAAAGTCTGCTGAGCACAGTTATCATCGGAAATACTCTAACAGCGGGAAATTCCAGCAACTAAAGATCACACGTGCCATGCAGCCGGGTTGTTAACACACTCTGGAACCTATTTTATAGTCATTTCCTCCTTCGACTTACTTTTGCCAGTGGGTAAAGATGTCCTCGAGAGAGGTCAAGAGGGAAGGGAGCAATTTCTGTGAAAGCAGAGGGAACACAAGTCAGGCATCAGCCCCGTTTCAGGACACTGCCATCGGACAGGAGAAGTAGAGACCGCTGAGGTCCCTCCAGGAATCCCCAAGAAAACGGGAACGTCTCTTCCCCGCACACACGCTCCCGATAAAGCCTGTCCCGTAAAGATGTCCTCGAGAGAGGTCAAGAGGGAAGGGAGCAATTTCTGTGAAAGCAGAGGGAACACAAGTCAGGCATCAGCCCCGTTTCAGGACACTGCCATCGGACAGGAGAAGTAGAGACCGCTGAGGTCCCTCCAGGAATCCCCAAGAAAACGGGAACGTCTCTTCCCCGCACACACGCTCCCGATAAAGCCTGTCCCGTCCCGTCCCGCTGCACCCAGAGCTGTGTCCTCCCCTCGGCGGCACCGGCGGGGCTTCACCCGCAGCAGCACG